GTGCGAAATCAATGCACTGCTTCTAAAGTTACCAAAACAATAAAATCTGTCAAAATGTTGCTATATCCTTCTTTTTAACATGATGAAGGAAGAGAAAACGATTAGCTATACTGGCGGAAGATGAGAATAATGGAAGATTTAGATATGGTCGATTCAGTAACGTGACTAGAGTTTACCTTCTTTCATAATGAAAGGCGCCAAAATCGTCATGTGGGTAAAATTAATAAAGATGAGTCACAGATTATCGATGCTAGCATGTGTTTTTCGTGAAATTTTTTCCAGCAGATATTTTTGGCAAAAATGTTTTACATGGCCATTCAACTTAGAAATAAAATTCGACACCACTTTGGAAATTTTGAGCCTGACCACTTTTTTGGCACAGTTACGGACCTACGAGACAGCGGCGATCGAAATCCCAGCAGCTTTTTCGGCATATTTAGAGCACTGTCCGAGAAAACTCAATAGTCTAATCATTTATATTAGATCCACAAAAAAGCTAAAAATTGCCTTCCCGGAGCCCTCCGCAAAGTGACTTTTTTGCCAATAACGCATTTATTTTCAAGTGAATTTTTTGAATGTCCAAACATCGAGTGTTTGACCAGATGGTCGTTGGTAGTCTTCCTAGCGAGTAGCAGAGGAATGCTGAACTGGACTAACGGTAATGCTCGAACTAAGTTGAAGTCTTCCAAGTTCTTATAAAAAGTAAACTGAACAATACTAATAGTCAACTGATTAACTTAGTTAAATCTGCGTGCAGTAAGCAAATTTTAAGTGGGTTCGTTTCCAGTTACAGACTTGCTTGTGCTAACACAGAACTCAGACCTAATTAAAGCAGATCAGTGGTCGGGACAAGACCAAATGAACAGCAGAAAAGACGAAGTGCAATAAAACTGGCTCCCTGTGCTTCCCAAATTTTTAGTACCGAAGCATTCGCTTGCCTGATTTTTATCGAGATCTCCTTCGGATAGTTCTGCCTCTCCTTGCTCTTGGAATGTGATGATAATCAAGGCAACAAAGATGTTCACAAAGAAAAATGGGAAAACGATGAAAAACATCACATAAAACAGCGCCATCTGCAAAATTCATGCTCTGCACCGTAAAATTAGAGCGCTCGGCCGGCAAAATCTCAATTATTCTATGGTGGAAACGAAGCAGCTGAGTCCAGAATTTAGCAAGCAAAAAAAATCCATCCCATGCTTTCTCATATTTTTGAAACACAAAACGCATTCGTCAGCTTAGTTTATATCCCGAATGTAAAATTTAGCATTTTCCAGTTGAAATGAATTGTCGCCTTTCATCACTGTTTGCTTCCTTTTGACTACAAAAGCGGGCAAATGCCTCGGACGTCCTCAACTTTTACGCTGCTGTACTTTAATATTTAATCAAGTCAGACTGATTTTATCAACCATTTTTAAGCAAAGGATGCAGAAAGATTTTGTCCGCTGTACGAGAATGAAAGGTGGGAAATACTTATGGTTTATAATAAAATTCGAAGCTATACAGAAATACTGTACCAAATTTTGTGTACCGTTCATCGCCGTTCTTTTTTACCATCATTAAAAACATCGAAAAACAGTGTTGTAACAAAATTTGCAGCCGAAGAATACAAAAATTCTGTGAATTGCGGCGTAACTGCGGTAAAGACGAGACGGGGAAAAAAAATAGGATAGAAAAGAAAATTAGGAATATCAAAAAATCGAAAAATTTCTTTTTCGCCAATGTAGGCACTCCGCACGCTCTGCTGCAGCGA